TTAACCAGATACAGAGAGGGCAAAGAGAAGTAACAATCCATGCAGAAATCTTGGGGTGGGAAAGAGTGTGGCAAGTTTTAGGAGAAGACAGGGGAGCAGCTTGGCTGGAGCAGAGGCTATCTAATGTGGATACAGGCATGATGTAAATTTGGAGATAGAGGTCAGCAGCACAGCACATGGAGCCTTCACTGCCTCTAGCCTCTACTGTTGCTTTTAAGGAAGAAAAAGTTTAAGGGATAACTTAAAAACCCTGATTCCTCTCCTTTTGTCAATATAGGAGCACTTATGTAGGGTGTGAGTAGAAAGAAAACAGGTGGAAAGAAAATCCTCTGAAATCAGGATAGAACCCAGCATAATTTTGGAAGCTCCTTGTATTTATAAAATTAAGTTTAACAGGTAAAATTTCCTAATGTTTATAAAATAAAAGGTAGTCCAAGCATGATATATTGCTTCCCTGTCTTCTAAATATAAAATAAATTTTTTTTAAGTTAGTAAAATAAACTATCCTTCTCCCTCAGTTTGCTAGACCCTGTTTTCTCAGCCTGGAATATTTGCACTCCCAGTGCCATCACCCCATAATCCAACAAGCTTCAACTTTTCTAGCCCATTCAGGCATTAAGCATACAAATCCTTCCTAACCCTACTCTCTGAGCTAAGCATGTCCTCTCATGCTCAAGGAACTGTGTAAACTGGAATACATTAGAATTACTGTGTTTATACCATATAAACCTACTAAACAGAAACTTGATAGAGGTTTTCCCAAAATTGACAATGTTCCTAAAAGTTTGCTGACCTTACCAACAATGAGAAATGAAGCTGAGAAAAAAAAATCTAAACTATTAGACATGCCCCCAAACCAATGTCATTATCATGCTAGAGGAGTCTAAATTATCTCTACATTCTCCTTACAGACAATGATACTATAGAATTGTCAGAAGAATCAATTGAAGATTATACAGCCAAAATTGTTCAAAGAAATGTATTAGAGAGATTTGTCAGATAGTTAATGATAAATGTCAGACAGTTAATTTTACATTGTTTTCCTGAATGTCAGATTATTTGTTGTATTTGTTAGCTTTAAAATTATGTGATTGCTTTTGACTGATTTGTTCATTCTAAATGCACTTTTGTAGCCAAATTTTTAGTTATAATTTCATAATCTTTTTAATATCAAAAACTCCCAAAAGATTGTCTGTCTCTGCTTGTACTGACAACAAATTATCAATTCTGCTTAAAATTTTGTTTTGAATTGTGATTTAAAAAATCATTCATATACTGAAACATAAATTGTGAAATGTTGAGTTCAAAAACATTGAAAAATGCATGAGCATAGGTAGGTATTTATATATTACATTACGGGGTAACTAATCCTAAACTAAGAGTTTGAACATACTATGACCTATGCATCCTATGACACCTTTAATTGTAAGCTTTTGTGACCAGTTCTTATTCTTAAAAAACTTAGACTAAGTGTATGATAATTGCATGTTCAATTATCAAATTGAACATTCAGATTCTCAAAAAGCAACAAAAGAGACATTTTCTGATATGATTATATATCATAAATCATAGCGCTGAAGTGGATGATTTTTTTTTCTCAGTAAACCATCAAGTGCAGTTAACTTAATCCATCCAGAGAGGGAGCATGAGGCTAATGGAGGGTAGAAAGAGGTGGGGAGGAAGCAGACACTCGTTCCTTCATATTATATTGAAGCGCTTTTATTGCTGTTTAGCAATAAGACAGTCCAGTAATAAGGAATTCTGTTATATTCACATGTTGATATGTTTTATACATCTACTTTTCTATTTTCTTGTGCATTTTATCTCTTTGTGTAAGTCCTTTAAGTATAATTCTCTCAGCTTCTTTGGTACATCCTCAAGCGTCTTTGAAAAAGATGATGTCATGGGAAACATCCACTAGAAATGAAAGTCCAAGTCTTAGCCAGCTAAGTAGATAAGAGCCTATAAAAATGCTACATCATTTTATTCCAACTGAATAGAATTGCAGCATAGATTTGTCTTTTAATCATTCTAAGTAACATATTATGGAGATGATATAGACTAAACACAAGTAGTGCTAAAATAAATTCTATAAGTAGTTCTGGCAGTGTAATAGTTACTTTCCTAGCCAGCTTAGCTGTGTACACAATCGGGGTGGTTGTGGCTTCTGCTGATGCTCTTCACACTCAGAGCTGCAGCTTATGGTGGGAAAAATGAAGGCCAAAAAGTAGAGAGCAGAGAAGATATGCTGAATGTGAAAAAGGAAGATGCAGGTAGCTATTTAAGACCCAAGATATTTCATTATGTAAACTTAAATAAGAAGAAAATAGTCTTAGAAAAGAATTCCTGACAGAGAAATTTGGAAAGCCACTATACTGAAATTTTAAGTAGACTTAACCAGACATCTGAAGCCCTAATATTTGTAAGCATATCATTTCATTTTATATATTAATAAAATAATTCTCTTGATACCTATGTTGTCTCTCGAATCTAAAATGAAAACAACTTGTGTAAAATCCCATATACCTAGAACACTGGTTTGACATTAGTTCTTTACTACTTAAATAAAATTATATCCTACAATATAAAATGGCATTCGTTTTTAGTCATTTTGATACTGTGTACTATTGATTTGTGTTTACTTTGAATAAGAATCATGTGGTATAATAGGGGAGCAATTTCTGCAAATATATTACCTCTTTAATTCAAAACATTGTTTATATACAACTGTGATAACAACTGGAGTAGCTTTAGAGAAGTAGGTCACTTGGTCTTAACCTCTAGGGTTCTGAAACAAATTAAAGATACAACAGTTTGCTTGCCCTAAATTGAGTATGAGTGCAGCAGTGGAAGAAGATCCCCATATGTTTATGGTTTTATTAGAATACTTGCAGGAAACAAACCTATTCAAATAGAGGCATTTTTTTAAGTCTGGAGACCAGACTTTAAATTCCAGTGGGTAGAGACTTCTAGGAAAAAATCAAAACACTGGATTATCTGAACATCTAAGCCTCCAGAAGTCAAGAACCAAGTCAGTTCAGGGAAGTTTATCTGCAGCAATGTGTGGTGGCCACTCTTGCTGGTTCTCTGACACTAATGTGACTTAGCCATCTACATATGCTAGTTTCTTACCATCCTGGCACATTCTCCAGAGTCCTAGCAGAAGTCTCTAATTGACTCTCTTTCCATATTATGGATTGGTTATACTTGTTGGGTTAGGCGCAAGCTGCAGTAGTCTGGGAGGCAAGGTCTTTTAAAATACTGGACTAAGTTGCTAGGTGGGAACTGTAAGCATAGCAGGTCAAGCTGAGAAAGAATTTCAAGCATAGTAGATGGCTAATATATTGAGTAAGGGCTTAATCCATAAGCTCAAAGGGAGCAGTTCTGTCATGATGCCGTGGAAGGCATCATGGAAGAGATGCATTTAAATAGGATTGTAGAGGTTGAGTTGGAATTACTATCAAGTAAATAGGTAAAGAAGGAGAGTACTCTAGGTAGTGAAGTAATTTAAGCCAAATGGTACAGGTTTATGCTTGGCACTCAGGTAGGTATCAGTCTGACTCAGCAGTTCTCAATGTAGCTGCCCTGAATCATCTGAGCAGCCCATGCGGATGCCTGGGCTTCAATCTAGACAAATTGAAACAGAATCTCTGGGGTTTGTGGTCAGAGATACGTAGTTTCTTAACCTTCTCCAGATGATTCTAATGCAAAGACTATTGAGAACCACTGAATGAATGTCTAGAGACTACAATACTTTATGAGTTTATGAAGTATAGTTGGAAAAGGTTGTTTGAACATGACTGGGGACTCTTATGTATCAGACTAAGGACTTTTTTAACTGTATTCTGTAAGTAATAGCACTAGAATGCACTATTTTATTAGTTTCCCCTCTTTTCTGAGCCCAGTATAGTTGGATCCATTTAGAGTTCTTTCAGTTCAGTAGATGGAGGTATGGGGAGTGGGTAGGTAGTGGGATCTAGGCTTATGTCACCTAGATAGCTCATGGTGCTTATTAAAAATACTGTTTATCTAGTAGCTCCATTAAAAATAGGCAAAAGACACGAACAGGCATTTCTGAAAATAAGACATATAAGCAGCCAACAAACATCCTGAAAAATGCTCCACATCACTAATCATCAGAGAAATGGAAATAGATACTATCTCATACCAGTCAGAATGGCTATTATCAAAAGTCAAAAACAAACAAACAAAAACCCACAGATGCTGACAAGGCTGCAGAGAAAAGGGAATGCTCATACACTGTTGGTGAGAATGTATAATAAATTAGTTCAGCCACTGTGGAAAACAAGTTGGAGATTTCTCAAAGAACTTAGAACTCTCATGCAACCCAGCAATATTATTGCTAGGTATATATCTGAAAGAAAACAAATCATTCTGACAAAAAGATACATGCACTTGCATATTTATACAGTCATACTATTCACAATAGCAATGACATAGACTCAACCCAGGTGCCCATCAACAGTGGACTGGATAAAGAAAATGGGGTACATATATACCTTGGAATACTATACAGTCATAAAAAAAAGAATGAAATAATGCTGTTTGCAGCAATGTGGTTGCAGCTGGAGGCCATTATGCAAAGTGAATTAACACAGGAACAGGAATCCAAATACTGCATGTTCTCATTTGTTAGTGGGAGCTAAACATGAGGTACTCATGTCATAAAGATGGCAACGATAGAAACTAGAGACTACTAGAAGAAGGAGGAATAAAGAGAGACAAGAGTTGATAAACTATTGGGTACTATGTTCATACGTGGGATGGGATCATTCATACATCAGACCTCAGCATCATAAAATATACCCATGTAAGAAACCTACACATGTACCCCTGAATCTAAATAGAAGTCAGAGGGAAGAAAAAATACTGTTTTTACACTGCTTCTCTTCTGTAGGAGTGGATATTCTCATTCCAGATTTAGTTTTTCTAAGCAGAATGCATCGAAGTTTTGTAATGATTCTTTCTTCTCTCTTTAGGGGAGTAGGTTGCATCTTTGTTGAAATGATCCAAGGAGTTGCTGCTTTTCCAGGAATGAAAGACATTCAGGATCAACTTGAACGAATATTTCTGGTAAGCCCTTTATAGAGTATTTACGAGAAAAATTGATTTCTAATTCTATAGCAGTCTGTGGAAAATAATTTAAAACAAATTTGTTGTCACATTTAGTTCTCACATGTTTTGCACCTTTGAAAAAGCAGGAAATCAGTTAAGAATTGTGTTTATATACTACTGTACATGAATAACATGTCAAAATTGTAGGAATGAATAGGACATGAGAGGCAATATAGAGAAAGTAATGGGTTAAAAATGAGGGCTCTGACAGAATTCCAAATAATTAATATAGATACCCCCTCTCTTTCAAGCAGGTAGAGTTTAACTCCCCCAACTCCCTTTACTGTGAACTTTGATAACTTTTTTCCATAAAGCAGAGCATGGAAAGTGGGAAGATTGTGACTTTCAATGGAGACACCAGTTAAACAGTACTTCAGTCAGGTCTTCAAGGCTGTCATCATAAAGATAGGTCATGTTGTTGGTGTGTACCCTTGATATGATGTGTTGATAATGGCACCTCACCTCTGTGGTGTTTCTCCTCAAACCATAACCCCAGTTAAATTGTAAAAAATATGTCACACAAGCCAAGAATGACAGACATTCTATAAAATACATGACTAGTATTCTTCAAAACTGTCAAGGTCATCCAAAACAAGGAAAGACTGAGAAACTGTCATAAATCACAGGAGGCTAGGAGAGCCATGACAACTCAATGTAATGTGGTCTTCTGTATGAAATACTAGGAAAGAAAAACATTATTGTGTATGTTGTTTAGTTAGTATCAATGTACCAATGTGAGTTTCTTAGCTGTGATAAATGTACCATATTATATAAGATTTAACTAGAGGAGGAAACTGGGCAAGGGGTATACATGAGCTCTCTGTATTATGTTTTGTAACTTTTCTGTAAATCTAAAACTATCATAAAATTAAAAGCTTATTTGAACTTTTGAAAATATGTCAAAAGTAAGTGTTCTGGAGCCAGACTATCTGGGCTTATCACCCTCGTCTGTCACTTTTTAACCATGGGATTTTAAGCAAGGGACTTATTAGCTCATTCGTAACGACTGGGGAGTGTTCATTGTATGGATGAGATATTATTTTCTTAACCAGCCCAATATTGACAGCTTGTTTACAGTTTTCCACTATAATAAAATGCTGCCAGAAACATTCATTGCACAATCAGCCTGTTAGTTAAGAATAATTATTATAATAAGAAGTCCTTATTTTAACAAAATTTAATTTTCATAAAAGTATTGACTATTTCTTCATGTCCATCCCTTCATTTAAATTGATGAAACCCTCTCTTCTGTCTGCTCCTAAGAAAATATTTCTTATTCACTTTATTGAGATTGTACTGAGTCTATAGAAATAATACAAAATTGTACTTTCTTATCTAAGATTAAGTTATTCAATTTTATGGCTATTATCATAAATTCACAGTTTTTATAAACATGTTTGTTTCTTTGTTCTACTCAAGACTTTATTCAAATTTAATTCTTTTAAATAACTTTTTCACAATAGTTTTCTTAAAAAATAAACTTTTCCACATATTTTATATAACAAAAATAGCCTAGAGGAAATTGTAATGGGCTGTAGTTTATATAAGTTTTTATGCAAAAACATATCTCCAAATACTTAGCATTTTTATTTATATAAAGCTCATGTATAATACTAATAATAGTATCACTAAATTATATTCTGAGAATAATTTTCTAAGCTTTAGATTCCACTTTTCACTCTCTGATAGCTGTTGAACAATAATTATGTAACCTTGTCAAATTACTGATTTATGCTAGAATTATTACTCTACTGTATTTGAAAGCAGAAAACTTTAAAAGGGGTATTATACTGAAAGAAATAGCTCTACTTATATATTACTTTAGGTTAAATATAAAGGGAAAGAAATGGTTATATAAGAGATACGTTATACAGCAAAAGAACCAAAAATATGAGTTTCATAAAAGCATAATTTATTGACGTAACTTAGTCAGAGCTTTCATTTGAAATCTTCGTTTAACAGGAGTAATTTCCATTGGGTAATATCCTGTTGGATTACTTCCTGTATGAAATTTTTGCTATTATTTCTTAATTTTATGGCATTAGGTTCCTAATTTTATGAGTATTCAGAAACCTTTGAGCTATGACTAGGCTTTTAATAAGTCAGAGAAATAAATCATTTTGAATTTCCTATGGGATTATTGATGCACTAAACTACCATTGCTTTCATTAGCACACAGAGACCCTCAAATGCAGATAAGCATAATGATTTATGGCAATAACCCTTTCATTTACTGTAGTTATTTTACACGTGTAATGCCTCTTACAGTAAAATGTCCTTTAATAATTAGGAAATGAAGATCATCATCTATATAAAATTACTGCTTTAGAATTAAATGTTGTTATGTTTTGCCCTGAAGAATTAGACAAAGCCGGATGAAGAGAAATCTAAAGACTTATTTTTACATTAAATGTTATCATCTTAAATATTTTATTTTCTCTACTGGATTGTTTGAATTTGCAAATATTAGCTATATATCACACAAGTAGTCTCTCTCAGGACTGGTATGATCATTGGAGGAGGAAATTTTACAAACCCAGTATGCTTAAATCACTGAGAAAAAAAAAATGCTTTTCCTCTGTGACCTTTCATGTCTAATCTGGAGAGGAATGACTATTAAATAGTGATTAAATTCGCTTTAACAGACCTCTAATATAAACTGCCAGAGACTCTTTTCTAGAGTGGCAATTGTATATCTGGCCTCTGGTAAAGCATTGCCAAGGAGATAATCAACCTTGAAAAGTCATGAAACGGGATTATTTGGTTTGTTTTGTGTTTTAATATGAGGATTAAGTTCATTCATTTGCCTGTGAACTGTATATAGAAAGATGATTAATAACTTTGAAACACAAAATTAATAGCTTGTTACCCAAGACAGCTAATATAATTAGCTCCCACACACCGAGTCTTTATAAAATATGTGAAAGGAAACAAAGATCAGTTTGTAAAAGTCTTTACATTTTTCTTTCTAAGGTTCTTTTTGCCCTGTTCTCTTTTTTCTTCCTTTGGTTGAAGGGAGCAGTCACAATTTTAACAAGTTCAATGAATTCATTTCTGGAACATAATAACCATGTTCATATATATAAAGTCAGCTGGAATATGCTACAATTTGAAATTTCACCATTAAGTCATTTTCCTTGACATTGTCATACTTACATGCAAGGAAGGAAGGAAGATGATAGAATTTTGATAAATTATATTCAAGACATTTTGAATTGCCAGATAAATAGGCATCTATTTCTCCAAGCAGTAACTCTGCTCTTAGGTGGAAAGAGTATTTATTTTCACTTCTGTAGCATTACTTATTTTTTAGTGTGGCCCAGTGTATTCTATTCACCTCCATTAGTTGGAAAATAAGCAGCAAATGCATTCATCCAGGTGAATATATATTCAGAATGACAAAATCACAACTAATAAAAAATTTGTATTCTAATATTATTCTGAATTGAAAAAGAAGGGTACTTGGTGCAACCCTGGGAATATGTGTCTCTCTCATTCAAAACAGCTGAACAAATGACAGGGAATGCTTGCACAGCTGTCTGAAACCTTTGGCAGATGCTTCTGGGTCTCTGTGGCTCATGGCCCACTGTGTAACAGTCATGACAAAGGAGCTGGCATGATTCTGTTTTTCAGATCTGTTCTTTTTCTCTCTGTCTTTGAATGTTGATAACCCTGACAATCACACCTTTCCTTGTCACCTGAGTCTCCTGGTTTACAATGAAATTTCATCCTATTGTTAAACTATTGTACATTATTTGATTGTACATCATTACCATTACTGGATTTGCTTTAAGTCATTCCTGCCATACTGCTTCAGCAGTTACTCTGTAGCTCTAGGTACAATGAAGACATAAAAGAATTATGTGTCATGATGTTAGCCTGGAGAAAATGACCATGACAGTCAAGGCAGGTGGGCAAGGCATACTTTAGGAATGGAGTCATGAATAATTGCTGAGCAAATTGATCAGCAGATGTGAGACCCAGCAATAACAGTGGATTCTATATTCGTCAAAATGCTGAACTCTAAGAGTTAAATATTGTGCTCTAATCCAAGGTTTTTTTTTGTTTTATTTTCTGCCCCACCTCACTCTCTACCCCTAGTAAGCCACCTTTACAAATTGGACAGTAGTTTCTGCATCCGTAAAGGAGGAAGTTAACCTAAGTGATGTTGTTACTGTAGCTCCATATTGTCTTATAGTTCTAACCATTTTTAATTTTTAAAAAATGCTTAATGTTACTGTATTATGTATAAGTTATGGGTATTTAAAGAAAAAATTTCTAAGAAAATTTTTTTTTAAGCATTAAAGCAAGTATAAGATTTCACATGAAAATAAGGGGGAAAAGGAGACATCAGGCAGTAGTATAGGAGTGGGTAGAAGGTGAGGTTGAATGTTCAAGACTGCACTTTGATAGTTTAGTATTTTTAAATATCATTTTATCCATAATATAATAAAACAGTGTAATAAGAGAGTAATATTAAGAGCATTTTATCAAATATAATACAGTGTGTTAGTACGTGCCTATGGTCCCAGCCACTCAGGAAGTTGAGGTGGGAGGATCACTTAGCCAGGATTTCAAGGTGAGCTATGATTGTGCCGCTGAACTCCAGCCTGGGTGACAGAGTGAGGCCCCTGTCTCTAAAAAAGAAAAATACAATATGATAAAATGATAAACTCAACTATATGAAGACTGGCAGAAGTAGAGAACTAAACAATACCTGTTGGGGTGAAGAATATTGAAAATGCTAAGCTACAATTTTAAAGTAAATTTTAGAAAAGCAAATAGGGACAATAGATTATAATACTCTATCTCCCACCCTGGAACAAGTACCTCTTAATTTGTACTTGTTTCCTTCAAGCCTCATCTATAGGCAAAGTCATTTACATGGTGAAAAATCCTTTTCAGAGAATCAACTGTATATAAGTAAAAGAAAAGTATGAGAAAAAAATCATTACTGA